ATAGTACGTTATAAGTAGTGAATGTGTATGTTGCCAGTGATAGTAAAAATAATAATAGCTAACAAATGGTTTAATCAAATTAAACCTATTGGAAAGGTAATAAAGTATTTTTTCATGGAATCTCGACGCCTAATTCGAATTTTTTCATACATCAGAATAACATAGCTGTCTCTTCAAAATTTCTTTGAGTACAACATTATAAGAGAACTGCCAAAATTACATTGAGGTTTTTTTAACGGAATCAGGTGTCTCAAATCTCGAATAACGTGATTACTAATCAATATCAATAATATGACAAAATAAAATCACAGTATATCATAAGTGTATACATTTATTATTTTCTCTTAATATATTTTAAACACAATAATATTTTATGTACACTCAATGAACAGTACAAAAATAATAGTACACTTTCTTACACTAATTTGCTTTACAGACTCTCTTTACTTAAACTAATTTAACATATTTTCATACTTAATTACTATGAAGTATAAATTAGTTTAATATAAAGTACACAATTATCCAGTATATAGTATTAGCCAGTATTTGATAGTTTATTATTTAAGTACATAACAATATATCTAATTTTTTTTTAATACAAGCTTCATTTCATATCATATTTATACATAAGATTTAAATCTTGAAATCATAAGATTTACCAATCAATTTCGTATTATCTTACAATGTTAGAGTAAATTTATACTGTGACTGCACTTATTATTAGTAAAAAATCATAATATTAATCAGAGACTTAGCAAAGTTTAACCCAGCACGAGCTTCTACGGGAGTGATATTTACTTTTAGAAGGTGGTAGTTCAGCTTATTCTCTTTATAATATAAATTTGGACTAATACTAAAAATGCAATAATAGCCTAAATTTACTCTGACGCTAAACCTTACTTATAATAGCACTACTAATGTTTGACTTCATTTGTAAATTAATATTAAAAATATAAATAAAAATAGTTATTTTATGCCATCACTCGAATTCATTTTAATGTACTAAATAGTGTAATAGTAGTTTGGTTCTGTGGAGTAGCATTTTTATATAGGTAACCGTTATAATGCGTTATTGATATAACGCATTTATGCAGTCTTATAAAAGAAAAGATGCTATTCCACCGAAACACACTCTATGCGTAGCGTAGTACATCAAACTAAATTCGAGGGGTTGCTTAAAATAACTGGGTAGTTATATTAGAGGTATAATACTAGTTTTCTACGTCATCAAGTTGAGTAAAGCGTAAAAATACACGGTAAGTTTAATCTTTGGCAAAATGTTACATTTATTTGCGAGTTTTTAAATATGCTTTCAATAATGATAAACTATGTACTTTTCATTTAGTTTTAGTATTTGGCTAACAAGATTGATTAACTTTATTTACAGTATGTTCGGTCGTTTAAATAATCCTCAGTTTTATAATGTAGTAAGAAAATCTTATTTTTATTATAATAACTAACTTTTTTTTACTTTTTACACCTATTATATATACAGTAGATACACAATTACATTAATTACTAATAAGATATAATTATAATCTAAAACTTTGACTAGTTAAAAAATGTGTGTCACAAATGTTTTTTACAGCTGTGATATTACTGTAATTGTAATAACTTTGAAAACGATTATAATCATAGTAATTATCTTCAAAATAATGAACTAATGTTATGTTTAATCAGTATATGTGTTTAAAAATTTAACAAACTCAGCTGCTGGATAGACACTTTATATAATAATTAATATTAAACAGAAATACTGTTATATTATTGTAACGTTAATCTAAAAAAAATGTTTATTGACAAACTTTATTGATCAGTGGCGGACTTAAAGCTAATGACATTCTCTACCAGTCAACCTTTGGGAAAACATAAAAACATGATGGCTACATAAAGCTAAACTAGACAAGCACTTTGATAAATATTATACAGACATATAAATATATCATACGAATTATGGATGAAGATCTCTAAAACTGCTACATGACAAAAGTGACAACTTTTTAAATATAAAGAAGAACGGCGAACACTTATATAGTTCTGGACCTGAATTTTAAAGTCCCGCTCATGAATTAAATAAACGTGTACTTGAAGGTATAAGATAAACTAACCAAATTCGAATCGTCTTTTTATTTTAAAAGTTGGGATTAAAAAGATTTGGGTATAAATACATTGTGAGGCTTTTTCGTTGAATGGACGTTAAAATATATAAAAATGGTAACCAGGTTACTCCGTTAAATAGACTTGATTAAAATAATTACATATCTTCCAAGATCCAACACGTAATATCTTAGATTAACCTGTGTGAAATACTAACTTTCGCCGACAAGAAAACAAAATCTTAAAATGACAGATATGACTTTTGCTACCAGCAAAAGTATCATGAATGTGAATCAAACATCATATAAATTGACGTCACTTAGAACAAAAAAAGTCGTTTTCAATTTGTAACACAAAGATAGCGACCCGTGAAAGAAACAACCAGTCCTTACTTACTGACAATATCCTACTGTGGCCAAGGACATCGATGCCTGAATTGCTGTCTTTGGTAACAATAGATAAGAATTATTAGGTGATTTCTCAAGCAATATTACACGCAACTAAACTTCTACAAGAACAAACAAGAAATATGCTATTGTATTTTATAATATGGCTTAAGTTTAAAAAGAGTTTATAATCACTTTTACTTCAAACAGTTTTATAGTTTGAAGGTTAAATTTATTTGAATACTACTTTGTATACTTCAGTTACCAGATATCGTTACTTAATAATACTTGGATTTTAAAAGACACACAATGAATAACTGCACCTTAACTGCAACTTAAGGACTGCACAATGAATTTTTCAGCTATATATATATTTTTTTAGATATCTTCATGACTACTATAAGCTGAGTTTATATTAATGGGGATATCTGGAATATTAACGCTCGATCTCTGTGCTGAAGATGAAGTATGGTTTAAGGGTCAAGCAGCATCTTGGTCGAGATGAACGTGCAATTGTAGGTTTTCCACTACCTCGATGATAGACGTACAGAAACACTCGCGTTAATAATGGCGCAACTGTTCATATACGGATATGTTAAGGGCACCACTCGCGTAACACAGTCACCGGATATTGTTCTTTAGTAATATACTCTAAATTACAATAGAGCTGCCGCACGCAGGATTACTGGGGGTTACATGTAGGGTTACCACCCGTACTTTATAATAAAGTATTGTAAGTTATTTCAGACAATTGTACTCTATACTCTATAAGAAAAATAAAGTACACGAAAATACTTTATGTCGTATGATTTGTTTTGTTTGTGATTTTGAAGCTTAGTCGTAAGTATTTATTCGTAAAACCAAATTTATCGATTCATGTTGAATCGATAAATAAAAAGAAAATGTATTTTTAAGTTTAGTAATAAAGAAAAATAAACAATACTTTATTTTGATTCAATTTACTTTGTTTTTGTACCTATAATAACTAATGTACTTTAATTGGGGGAAAAAAAGGTGGCAACCCTAGTTACATGACACATTAACAGACACGCTTTTTCAAAAATTTTGTATGATATTAGCGCATCACTGAGCATTTGATGAAACGTAGGGGATAAGATGTGAGAATCGCTAGTGTTCACCGCTGCAGCTACAGTTCTTGATCACCAAATGAATATCCAGGAGCGAGGTATTTATTTACACGGAATTCGACCATAAATGGCCGAAGGTAGGCTACTAGGAGCCGCGTCTGGTGACTCGGGCCTCAATTCTTCTGCTTAACGTAACAATCGCATCTCAATAGAATATCAACTGCTCGCGTTTTACCATCGTACTATATACCTGAAGTCTGAACGTAGACATTTCACTAATAAATATTATTATTTTCAGACTTCAGGTATATAGTACGATGGCAAAACGCGAGCAGTTGATATTCTATTGAGATGCGATTGTTACGTAAAACAGAAGAATTGAGGCCCGAGTCACCAGAGTCTACGTTGACAGATAAGTTTTATAAATTCGTGATCTGGTAATAAGAACTGAATCTCAAAGGATTGTGTTTCAAGCAGTATTGACTTGCCATAATTACGCTAACATTGCAGAATTGCCATACCGACTAATTCAGTGGTTGTCAGTAGTAGCGAGTAGGGGCTCATTGTGCGGCAACAGTAATCGGTCCGTATCTGGCGGGCGTGTGGCGGGCGCAGAACGCGCGCGCGCAGGGCGGGCGCTAGAGCATGACGTCACGCGCGGGGGCGGGGTGCGCGGCGGCGGGGGCGGGGGCGGGGTGCGCCACCGCGCGGTGTCAGTCGCGCGCGCCCACCAGCACCACCAGCTGCGTGCGCCGCTGCTCCTGCTGGCCGCGCGACACGCTGCCGCTGCGGGTGCGGTTCAGTATCTGCAATAGGATATTTGACAGTATTAAAAATTATGGCTACCCTATAACATAATAGCGTAACAACACATGTTTACACAAAATAAAATCAATTTTTGTTCGACATTTTGTCTTGAATTAATAGCCTTCGCTCTGTTCTATAACGATTAATTATAGGTATGTACCAACCTATGTCCTACAGACTTTGAAACTTGTATTTATTATTGTTCAATATATGTATTATTTTGGAAATGACATGATAAAAAGCTGGTAAGTTTCTTTCGCTTGTTCGTCTTATCAGCTAAAAGACGTCCTGAACAAGTGGTAGGGGAAAAAATATTTTTGGACGATTCAAAAGTGCTTGTAACAAGCTTACTTGAATAAAACATTTTCATTTCATTTCAGACAAATACACGCCTTATACGTGGTTTCAACACCGATGACTCACACGCTAGTAAATATAGTATATTCCTGTTGAGGATTTTATTTTGATAGGATTTTTTTATTTACTCGCATTACGTATGACGTAATGCGAGTAAATAAAAAAATCATACAAGGCTTAATGATACTTTATGACAGACACCGCGGTTTTGGAATAATTAAATTTTACTTCTGATTTTTGTTGATAATACAGCAAATTTTCCCGAAATATCAATGTAATGTGCTCACTATGTAATAAAGAATAATTAAAAACTATTTTTCAAATTTAATGAAATTCCCTATTGTATTACTGTCTATGATACCACTTCTTCCACCAACGTAACATTATGGATTTGTTACACTTTAGCAATAACTAACATATCAAATACGTTGTTATAAATTTACATTAAAACATTATGAAATACGGGATAGCTACCATGTATCCTTACATTTCGTGTATCCCCATTATTTCGACGCTGTTTCTCCGTGATCATGGCGCTTGCAACAGCGCTGAAATATCGGGAACTCGCGCAATATAAGGTACATGGTAGCAATCCCGTACTTCACATTCAATCAAACGAGTATTGGTTAAACAAAAAATAAATTTTAACTGTAAATAATTTAATTGATTTTAAACATATAAGTATTTTGAAATGCTCGTTTTTGCGCTTGTTAGCATGTTCAATCTACAGTGCGAAGTTGCGGAGGAGATGGGTGATCATTTTTTTTTAATTTTGAGCGCGTTCGTGCTTGGTTACGTCCCATGAATCTGGCTGTATCCGTGGTGATTATGACCTTTTCTTCCTATTTGATTCCATTCATAGGGAAAGTCTGTGACCCAACACCCGGTTGATGTTGATATTTCTAAAATATACTATCTTAACTACCTATTTCTCTCTTCCGTATATCAGCAAATTTCTTAATGCTTAATTTAAACTATTCCCTCCCTGCATTCACTTCTGTCTCTCTATCACCAATGAAACTTACAGGTTTACTAGAAGAATATCTAGAATATTTAAAATTCATGTAACTTTATGACGTAAATAGTATCAAGATGAGTAAACCATTTCATCGCTAATGTATTACATTAAGCCTATTGTTTCAAAAAGCTTGTAGAGTTTATACAAATTATATTTTTGCACCTTAAGAAACCTGACAATGCTGTTTTTCTCCATTGCTAGTTGACCTAAAAAGGCATCTAATAATATGATATCAAACTTTCATGCGTTCGCTCTTTCAAAATTATTTTATTAAATAATATTTATTGAGGAAATCTAGGTATTTATGACCTAATTTGATACTATTATTCATCGTCCGACCAGCTTCAATCTAAGTTAAATTGAAAACTGGAAAATTAGTCAAATTAGTTAAATTTACTAACATAACAAGTTAAACAAAATGTTGTATTATATACATCGATTTAATTTGTATGTAAAAGTGTAACTAAACTCTACTACAGTCAACGTACTGATCCACTTACTGGTACTACTTACTACTACTGAAAGTGTACTTTTTTTTTGACATCAACTCTGATTTATACTCACAGTAGCGACGGAGTGTGACCGCCGGGCATGTGTGGAGCTGAGTAGATCTGAATGAGCGGTAGAATCAGAACGCGAGCGCAGAGTCCCACGCGCACGACTACGTCGTCGACCACATACCCAACGGTATGGCGCCACTCGCCTGGATTTTAAATGGAAATTTTAATTACATAGAAGAAAACAAACAACAATACACAAATTAATTAGTAATACAAAAATCCCAGCGTTTAAAGCAATATCTTCGTCTTTTAGTAATTCGTCAGCAATATCTCAAATTAATTAAATTAGGATCGTTTGTGACTGACAATCATCTGAGCACACTTCATGCTTAAAAATTCATAGCTACTGTACTGAAGTACATAAATTTATTCTTAATGATAATGCTTAAAAAATCCATCGGCCTATGTACCTTTGAGTATGGATGAGAGTGCCTGGGGCTGGTGAATTTTTTAAACATTTTTCACTAAGAATATATTCGAGTATAGCATTGTGAATGCAAAATTTGTACATACATTTATGGTACATAAATGTTGAGCCTGAAACGAGATATATTACGGTAACTATCACAGCTTTAAATAAAACCATTTATCATAACTAACCGAAAGCTTTTTAATGGCATCAGCAAATAATTTTATAATTTCATGCATTATTCTGCGATTATCATGTCGTCAAAATAGATATTTACTCTTAATACTTTGACAATGAATTTTCATACCTTAAACTACTATAGATATGTGGGGAGAACATGCAGCATATGAGGGGGTTGGCAGCTGAGTTGAGCGGCGCCAGACTTTGGATAAGAGTGGCGATAGCCAGGTTGTTCTGCGTTGGTGGTATATGGTTATACACCTGGAGTAGATCGAATACGATGTAGGGCGACCAACAGAGCACGAATACTGAAAATATAATTAAAAAAAAATTAAAACTTTTCTTTTGTATTGGTACCTATAATTCAAACTCAGAAAGTATTCGATTAATTGATAAAAATACAGTACTTTAACAATGATTATCAACAATAATTTTCAGTTATTTTGTAATTAAATAATTCACTACAATTTAAAATACGTAAACATATACTACAACTTACCAAAAACTATGACAAATGTCATCTTGACGCTTTTTATTTTAGCTCTCGGTATAAGGCCTCTGGAACTAGCACGTCTAGAGTCTGGATCGCTTTCGATATGACCTGAAAATCATATTAAATATGCGATTATCAAATAATGCTTAAATAAATATTTAAACTACAATATAAACAGTATAATTTATTGTTTTTTATTATATTTCATCAATTTTGCATTCGCTATACTGAAAAAAATATTCTTAATGAAAAAAAAAAGCACTTTGTCCTAGGCACTCTGAGATGGGTCTCGAACCCATGACCCTGAAGTAGCCGAAAGACCATAAGTTCTAGTCCCATTTCAGAGTGCCAGGGACAAAGTGATTTTTTAAGCATCTTTCATAAAAAAAATTATTATTATATTTGATAAATTTCGCATGCACAATGCTATACTGAAATATAATATTTATGAAAAATAAAATTGAAAGAAATTAAAATGACCAAATGGATTTTTAAGTATTTTTCGTTAAGGATATTATTGTTCTTTATTTAAGTTTTTTATCTTATTTTAAAATATTGCGATCTAACCTAATGTCTAACATCTTGACCCCGTTGCAAAGCAATATATTAATTGAATATTTTTATGCTAATAATTTAATTAAACTTTAGGTACAACATTTATTATATTTAATGAACTTTGCATTCACTAGTGGATTTTTAAGGATTTTACATTTAAAATATCTAACAATATGTGCACATTAGTTCTATTTAAAATAGCAAATAAATATTCCAACATTACATTACTTTTATCATTCTAAGAAAAATATCATTAGTGTCACAACATCAACGCTAGCATTTATTTTTGGACAACTGTTTTCACTACCTACTGCTATTTTAGAGATAACTCTATTGGGAAAACAGTATGACATACTTGCTCATTTTCTTACGCAATATCACTTAAACACGGAATAATAATTTCAAACTTTGTTACTAGTATAAAACTAAAAAAAGGTTCTATGTTTTTGTTTCATCAACTCTTTGTAAAATAAACTTTGTAAAATGTTATTAATTTGTATGACTATTGTTTGTCTTTATTTTAAACAACCAATGCATAAACAAGAATGTTGATATTTTTTACAATACTCATCAGGACAAGGTTCTTCTTGATTAGAATTAAAATCACCACTTGCTTTTGAATCTACTCGTGTTCATTTTAAAGAAACATATTAGACCTAATAATATGAGATCTTTTATTATTTTAATTGCTAGTTACTCGATTACTTAATTACTCGATTGTAAAGAGAGCGTGATCATCGATACCCTTAATTTTATTAGAAAGGTGACACTGACTTTAACAGTTCGTTAATAAAAAGCATGTTGCCGCCATTTTGGCACACATTCTGTTTCCGATCGCCGAGGGGTAAAGACATCTGACGATATCACGCTCATCTCGTTATATTTTCGTGTGAAAAGTGATAAAATGGAACAAATCCACGTTGGTATATACGCCTGCAATGTTATTTTAAAGATATTTCTCCGATATGGACGATCTATTTGGGCTTCGTAATAGCCCATACGGACTACCCGCCGTTATATATAAAAAATTAAATATAATATTTACCGTTCCTCATGGTTTTCGATCTTCGCGAATTGATCGGTGGACTCATAACGACCGCTTTACTCTTAGTCCAAATAGTCAGGACTATGACAGCGTAACAGGCTGCGATGGCTAAAGCTGGTAGTGCGAATATCATCACAGAAACAAGGGTCACCCACACTTGCCAACGACGTGGCGTGCCCAGCTCTATCCAGCACTGGAGTTGCCCTGAAATCGAGATATTGTCATCATCATAATCAACAGCCTATTATTGTCCCCAGTGCTGCAGCTGAGAATGGGTCATTACCCACTAGGAGGGTCCAGTGTGAATTAATGGCAATTACGACTGCAGATGCAGACGGGACCAACGGCTTAAATTACCTTCCAAAACACGGAGGAGCTCGAGATAACAAATTTTGGGTCACCCATCTTATGACCATTACGAAAGTTCCTTGATCACCGTATTGTAGACTGAGTGCGCTAACCACTACGCTACGCACTGGAGTTGCTCTGAAATCGAAATATATTCGTATAAACAGTAAAACAGTCGTCTGTATTTGTTGTTGTATATCAGTTGTGTATCTTTGATTTGTGTATTTGATATTAAAAAAGCTAAATGTTGTTCTACTGATATGACTACAAAAACTTTCAAAAATTTCGCAGGTATTCAACTCAATAGATCACATTAAAATTTCTCAGTATATTGTCTCAGTGTATTCTCATTCTACAGGATATATGCGTATTCAGAGTGATATATTGCATATTTCCTGTAGAATGATGAAAGTTTTTGTTGTCATCTCAGTAGAACAACTGTAGAATTATGCTGTTCCAGGGCCTAAATTCTGCGAATTTTAAGTAATCACCAGAGGTCGGAATTAGGTAGAGTTATTTATGTACTTGCATCGAAATGTTGATATTAATGTGGGCCTTCCCGGGATTTCTAATGGACAATCTTGGACATCTTTGGACATCCGATGTCATTGATGTAAGTTTGGCAACGACGTGCGTGCAGTAGTTTAAATTGTGTAAAAGTAAATAATTTTTTATTTAAAAAATCACGGGATTTTTTCTGCTCTTTAAAATTAATCTCGGGATTTGAGGCATATCGACTTTATTCTTTCGCTGTATGAAATCAGTGTAAGTACATGAATAACTCTACCTTATTCCGACCACTGGTAATCACATCTCCATAGAATGGTAACTACTAGAATTATACGGTTAAATAAAGGGCGAAATATATATTTATTATTTTTTGATCTAGTAACAAAGAATAGTGTCATAAAGGGTTGCAGTTGACGCGCTACAGAATTTCCATAATTACGCTAAAATTTGCAGAAGTGCCCTACAGGACTTTCATTACCAACATAAACTTTTGGACGTAAGTAACCATAGTCATAGTAACCTAAAGGCATATTCAGACAGTTTTAAGTACAATTAAAGCGAAGAATGTTATTTTACCTTGAACTTCCTTGACTTCGTATAGTATCAAAATGGGAATGGAGAATATGACACTTATTAACCATGCTGATATTATGAGGACTCTCGCACGGTTCCCTGAAACAGCAAAAAAAATTACATCACCCTTTTTTGGTACTTACAAGTTTTCTGAAAATCTACCAATTTCGGGTTTAAGTAGTTCTTACCATGCCATGACAACGATTTAATGTTTGTAATTAAAACGTTAATAGTTTGAAAGCGTAATTGATCCGTTTGTCCTTTTTCTATTATAATTGTTTTTCTTTATAATTGGTATCATTGAAACTAGTAGCGTTTAAGTGGCTTATTAAATTGATAGTGCATTTATAAAATTATTCTTGTGAATACAAATAACGATATTTCGTTTTTGTATACAAAGAACCTAAAAAAAACCAACCTCCTTCCTTTGAGTTGTTACTCTCGTCCAGTAAATGATTTCAGATGTCAGGTAGTATTGATAAGATAATGTCAGAAGGTGTCAAAAAGAATGCAATAAAAATGATACTGTCAACCAATACCACGGAGTTACTTTATTGAACTGAAAATTATAATAATATGTGCAAGCGCCCAAAGTGGGTCGCGATGTTATATATTGCTTTCGAGGCAAATAATGTACGTTGACCCGTACATACTCCCAACCCCTAAGAATAGGAAATTAAATTAGTGATTGTGTCATATATAATGTAAAATGTAAATGTCAAAAAAATAAAAAGTAAAGAAGGTAATTACATTTCAAAAGAAAATGTTAAAACTTAAATATTTCAACTTAAAATAGTTATAACATAATTACAAAATATTTAATTTTACATGTCAGTAAACAAAACATCATAAAAAAAAAAAATTAGTTTATAACGTAATACTAAAGAATAATCTTAATAAATGAGACAATGAATTTACTTATGTATTATGTACATTAGGAGAGCTGCTTAAGTGAAAATGAATTTTCTTAGGCATCGTTGGCGAAGTCCCGATATCTATGGAGCTCGTTGATGCGCTAGTCATCCTTGCAGACGGCAACAAAGTGTGTGACGTAGTAGCGATGACGTCACTGATTGACGTTTCATCTACTTTCTTCGCAGACTGATAAGAAACATTTTGTTCCATGGACGTTTCTTGTTGTTGGCATCGTCGTCTCTTGGATTTTATGTAAAATACTAATACCACAATTGATGCTAAGACCATTCCAATAATAATGGTATAGATAATTGTGTAATGTGTCGTATTACTGGAAGTAAACTGTTCCAATTCTTGTTGTTTCATAATGTCTATGTTTTGTTGAATATCTTGATATGTTCTGTCATGATTTTCAGCTGTAAAATTTTCAGGTAACGATACGTTTATAACTTCGTTAAGAGATGAGTGATCTTCTGGCATGTCAAGATCAATGGAAGGCTGGATAGACAGTTGATTCGTGTAATCATGTTGAGCATAAATTAAAAATGACTCCCCTTTGATAACGCATCCAGGTTCCAAGCTGATTAATCCATTGTCTCGTAATTGTTTTGTTATTATTTCTGTGGAACATATGATTCGTATTGAGCACGCGTCGCAACATGAGTAGAGCCAGGTATCGCGTGCATGCAACTTGATCCACCTGTCAGCACATTTCTTTATAGTCGCCGTACAATATTTAACATTTTCATTATTTATTTGTAGTTGTAAATCACATAGCGATTTTCCCATATTCAATGTATAAATTGGCTGATTTAATGTGCAAAACATTTCTTGATCTGTGTGACGTATGCAATGTTGTACGTCACTGTCTGTCATTGGTATAACTGTATCTTTTTTCACATTTACAGCTAAATATTTTGTAGATGGTGTCGTATAAACGACTTTTCCCTGTTTTCTTTGGGGAATGTCAATGATTTTATTTAGCTCAAATGAGTCTCGATTGAGGAGAGGTATATTTATTTCAATGATCAGCAGCTTCGAAGTTACTCTAGCTTTCACGTGAATAAGAGCATACAATTCTCGTATATTGTCCGTTGGCAAAACGAGATCATTTTGCAATCCAGCCGATATGATGTTCAATTCTTGTTGCAGTTGTTCTGGTTCTAACATGTGGATATTTAAACGACTGTGATATATGTCAGTCACCATTTCCAGTAGTGAATCTTGAATTCGGCGAATATTAGTGAGAATAACGTTGACTGAGATCAACGATGACAAAAGATAAAATATTTGTATTGCACGTTGATCAGCTTTTTGCAGTCCTTGCATTTCATATGACATTGCTTTGAAGTGTTTATAAATGTGATTGAATTGGATATTCATGACTAATTCATTACGTCGTAATATATTATTTTGAGCTTCTACGATCGAAGTTTGATTTTTGAATAAACTCATTAAATGATCTTCCTTGTGACGTACTGTTTCGATGTCCTTTTGATATTTCTGTGCAAAAGAGTCGTCCAATAATCCAAAAAATGCGTTGGCGACGTTTCCGATCCCGTTGAAAAATCCTCTTTTCTTTCTGTGTGTGTTGTGTGACATATGTTGATAGTTAGTCAATAATTCATTGTAGTGGCGTAATTCATTTAGTTCGTGGTTAAATTGTGCAATAACAGAAGAACATGATTTGTCGTTGTTGCAGGTTTCGGACACTGTTTTGATGTAGGTTTTTACTGCTGCCATACTCTCCCAGTAAGTACTCATATTATAGTACACGATCATTTTCCAATGATCTTGGATAATGCGTGTATCCGAAATCTTGTCAAAGTACAACGTGTTATTGCTGTCAATAATTTTTATTTTTGTCATTCCTTGAATAGGACTAAAAATTGTCATTAAAAGAACCATTGCCATCAAAAGTAAATTGCATAGACTCTTTTTCTTAGCTGGGCATCTTGAAGAGTCTGATTTGTCAGTGTCAGGTTCTGCGTGAACCGGTAGCGGTATAACTTTAATAATAGGCCGTTTGAGGTGACCACTTTTTGTTTTCATAGTGACAACTCTAACTCGCCCGTCTTCGCCTGGGTGAACCTCTGTAACTTTTCCCAAGGCCCACTTTGTTGGTGGCATATTATCTTCCTTTATTATGACCACGTCGTCTATCTTCAAATTTGACTTTGGTTGATTCCACTTGTGTCTTCTTTGAAGATGCTGCAGGTAATCTAATGACTATTTCTTCCAAAAATCACGGTGCATTTTTTCTATTAGTTGCCATCTTGTTTTGATGCATTTTTCATTGATGTCTGTCATTGGAGGTGAAATCAGTGGACCTCCAACCAGGAAATGCCCTGGGGTCAAGTAATCATCTTCTATGTTCTCTGTTAACGCGTAAAGAGGTCTGGAATTGAGACAAGCTTCGATCTGATTCAGTAATGTTGAAAACTCCTCGTATGTCAGTTTTTGTTCACCTAATACTCGTTTTAGATGATGTTTAGTGCTCTTGACTGCCGCTTCCCAGAGTCCACCAGCACTAGGCCACACTGGAGCGTTCAGATGCCAAGTAACACCCATTGTAGATATGTCAGCGAGAAATTCTTTATTGATGGCTTGGAGGTTTTCTTTATACTCTATCTTCAGAACTCGTGAAGCACCAACGAAATTTGTCCCATTGTCACTGTATACATGTTGTGGCGTACCTCTTCTAGCACACATGCGCTTGAAGGCTGCAAGAAAGGTTGGTGTACTAAGATCAGATACTAACTCTAAATGTATCGCCTTTGTCGAGAAACATACAAAAACTGCTATATAGCCGCGAGTTGTCTTTATTCCTCGCCCTTTGTTGGCTTTTAACTCCAATTGTCCGGTAAAGTCGACTCCGGTGTGAGTAAATGGCCTAGAGGGGGTTACTCTTGATTCTGGTAAGTCAGCCATTTGTTGATTTTGAGTTGAATGCTTAAATCGAATGCAACGGACACATTTTCTCAAGTGCTTTTTTACTGTGCGGCTTCCTCCAATCACCCAATAATTTTGTCTCAAATATGTCAAAGTAAGTGCAGGACCACCATGTAATGTTCTTTGGTGAGCTTGTTCGATAAGCAAAATGTGTTGGTAAGCGCATAACTCAACAACGCCTCGACCAATTTGGCCAAATCTTTTTTTAAAATGTTCGTTGAAGTTCAAGGATGGTTTTTACGGCGAGAAAAATTAGAATTATTGCTGGAAAAACCCTAAAAATAGCCCTTTTCTTTTTCCCATACAAATGATTTGTAACTAAAACGTAGTCAATTTGAGCTTTATTGCTATGGTATAAAGTTCATATTAAATTACAAGCACTCACTGTTGTCTAAGCAATGTAGGTGTGTTCCTAACGTCAAAGATCATATCTATCAAAACAATGTGCGTGTGTGCGTTGGAGCACAGAATACATAGTTGGAGGAGTTTAATGTCGCGTTCCGAAACTCGCGTTTCTTTTGTATTAGTTTCGGCACGCGAGATAAAATGCATCAGTTTCCACGTCATTACATCAGTCAAACAAAAATCGCGTTACCAACAGTGTTTTATTATTTTTAATATCCAAATTTTAAATCAATAAAACAATTCGTACGGCTTAAAAGGATTTGACTTCAAGTCATATCAAATTTAAAAAAAAAAAAGTTGTCTGTGACCTAATCTACTGAGTTTGCTTTTGTCAACTGATACACAGATGATATAAAGGAGAAGATGTTCTCATACCGCGCGTCCCAATGATTCCGACTGATGTGCCATTTGAGTTTAAACGACTACAGTTTCCAGTGCGGCTTGCTTTTGCTATGACTATAAACAAGTCCCAGGGGCAATCATTAAGTGTTTGTGGTATTAATCTAGAAAACCCATGTTTCTCACATGGTCAATTGTATGTTGCCTGTTCCCGTGTTGGAAAACCATCAGATTTGTTTATCTATGCGCCAGGTAATCAAACAAAAAACATCGTATACCACAAAGCACTACAATGATAATAATAATAATTATGATTCACATGATTAACAATAAAGCGATTACTTACTTTTAAATCCTTATATATGTTTTATTTAATTATTTTTTATTCACAACGCCCTATCACCAGGGTGACGGTTCTGTTCAGGAGAATTTTTTTAAATACGTAGGCAAAAAAACTGCCACATTACAAATCTTTTTGACAGGACGAAGTCTGTCGGGTCAGCTATAATGGTGCATAGTTGATATTCTTTAAGTCTATCCTGTGGGTTATCTCTCCATAATATTTTTTGCAGATGCTGCTGATCT